CTAAGCACTTTTCACATTTCCTAGTCACCTACTGTGGTCAGGGCATTGTACTAACTACAAGAGTAGAAGGTGCTGGAGCTAACTGTCCTGATATAGCAAGTACCTGGGTAAGTCAATACCAGCTGGTCATTTGAGAAGGCAGGAAGCTTGTTCCATCCACACAGAAGGGGATTTTAAGTCGCCATTCTCCACTCTTGCACTCACCCCCTTCCTCAGCTCTGCTGAAGGGCTCTCAGGGGGGTTAGAAGTGAGACTAGGTGAAGGCATGAAGAACAAGGTTTCTTCCTCATCTGTAACAAGCCCTGGCAATAGCCATGAGATAGAAATGTTCCCAAGGAAGCTGGGTAGCTGTCCCTGCTCCCCACACAGCTCTGAAGTCTGGATGGGGATGATTCCTGGCCCGGGCCAGGCCCTCTCTGGATAAGAAAAGCTAAGTACAATCCTTACTGAGCCTTTGAGATGACTCAGCATGATCTAAATGACATAAAAAAATGAAAAGTCTGATCCCAGTGCAATCAAGAGCCCCTCCCTGGGCCAGAAACATGTGCCAGTCTCATGCCTGGCATTTACCATGGTCCTCAAGGGTAAACTGGTTTTTCCAAAGAGCAGTTGGCATAGATTTCCCCACCTTCTAAATGTTAAGGAGTATGGGGGAAATGGGGAAAAATCAAAAAGAAAGGACTCTTTTTCAGGTTTCTGATGCAGTTTTACTCTCTGCTGCACCAAAATATGGTAAGGACTTTTTTTTTTCCCTAAGACAAAGAACACTACATTTTCTGAGGATTGACAAGTGGAATTTTAGAAAGATGTAAGTGTCCAGGGATGCAAGGGGTTACCTCCTGTCACCCAAAACCATGAGATCACCACATAGGATGGCGAGGTTTGGAGCTGGAAGATGTTGGAGAAGATTTTGCCTAAATCTCTCATTTTATGGACGAGAGGAAAGGAGACTCAAGCCGGAGACGTGATCTGCCCAAGGTCACATAGTAAACGTAGCCCAGGATTTGAACCCAAATCTTCTGAGTCCAAATCCATTATACCAGGAATTCTTTTCCATGTTCAAAACCAAACTCAAAGTGCTACTAACTTACTCAAGACATTTTTTTCCTCCACAAAAGAAGCCCTTCCATTGTCACTGAGCAAGAAGCAGTAAGAAGACAGAGCCCAGGGCTAGAATCTGGAGTCTTCAATTTTGATTTCATTAACAAAACTTTATGGTGCCTCTCATGGGCCAGACTCAGGGTCCAGTTATGGCTCTGTCACTTGCTGGTCATGTGGCCTTGAGCAAGTCAAAGGGCATCCCTACACTGGGACAAAATGAGGTTAAGGATCCTACCGTAGCTCAGCTCACAGGGCTATTGATTGAAGGAAAAGAGTGAAGCTCCCCAGGCAGCTACAGCTTTGTTATTTTTCACAAAGACCAGATTGCAGCAATTCATTTCTATCTTGCTAAAGTGCTCTAGAAGAGAATGAGAGCAGAAGGCAGCTCCATGTTCTGCTCTAGTCTTACCCACTTCCTTATGAAAGGCTTAGATTTGGTGTGCTTCTATTATTCATAGTATTATCTTACTTTGCCATTTATTATCTTAGAATGTTTGTTAGTATTCTTATGCACTAGATGGTACAGTGGATAAAGTGCAGGGTCTGGAGTCAGGAAAACCAAATCCAGTTCAAATCCAGCCTCAGACACTTCCTAGCTGTGTGACCCTGAGCAAGTCACTTCACCCTGTCTACCTCAACTTCTTCATCTGCAAAATGAGCTGGAGAAGGAAATGACAAACCGCTCCAGTATCTTTGCCATGAAAACCCCAAATGGAGTCGCAAAGAGTAAGACAAGACTGAAACATGTGAATAATGAATAATTCTAAGTAGCCATGTTAGAACCCCGGGGATATCAAATGTCAGGCGAGTGAAGAAAAGTCTGTAGCCTGAGAATGCTGAGCACTAGTCTCTCCCCAAGTAAAAACTTCCTGTACTAGCATGCCAAAAGTCGTTATTAAGACAAGTGTTCAGAAGATGGAGGTTCAGACTAGTCAGAAAGGCTGACACACTGAGGCTTTCAAACAGAAAGCTTTTTTTTCATTTGATCCTTCCTAACATTTGTTTGTTTTTCCTAAAAGTCCACATCCTGATGCAGAAAGCAGAGGACCCAAGGTGTCACTGAATTCACTGAATTCCTCCTTGGGGTCCTGGGGCCCCCAAAATAACCCTCCTGAGTTCATTGGGTTGCAACTATAGACCCTGAAAATGTTAGAGATTGGAGCGAAAGACATGGGGGAGGGGGGTGAAGAGAGGCTGCTAATCTAAGAATACGGGCCTTCTCGTTTCTTTACCTCCTTACTTAATTAAGCTCCTGGTGTCCATTCATTTGCTTCCTCTTTACTTCTTTCTCTTAAATGACGAACTCAGAAGCAAATCTGAAGAAGTGGTGTGGCAGTTCATGCAGGTTTTGCTTTTTGTAGAAAGAAGGGAAGAATCAGCTTGTGGAGGGAAGAAAATAGGTGAGGGATCTCACCCACAAAGCCACTTTGAAGTCAACAAATACCCCAAGGACTAAAGAGCCAAACGTTAAAATTCAGAGAAGACCACATAAGAGGGGGCAACCTGAAAATGGCATGTATTTCCTCTCACTTCATTTGCTCACTCCCTCCAGTGACTGCCAGAAGCTAGAACACACATCTATGTTGAGGTGATCTCTTTGGCCGATGAAAGAGACCCTAACACCTGCGATTTGTTTCTCTGTGGCTCCCGCTTTTGGGGTAGCTGGAAACTGAGTTCAGCCCTTGTCTATGACCATCCAGTAACAATTCTTCAGGAGCTGCTCCTGCCAATGTCTATGCCAAATTACCCTGTTACTATCAAAAGTTGCGAATGTCCATTGGTGAATGTCCATATATGACCATTGAACGGGTGGGCTACCATTGGGGTTGCATTGAAAGAGTCCCCATAGAAAATAATGGTGCATTTTGTTATTTGGGGATTTTCTTTTAATTTGAGCTCTATGTTAAGGATAGAGTGGCCCCTTTTCTTGGACTGCTCACATTTAGAGTTGCCCAAAAGCAGAATGGTTACCCCATGAAGAAATAGGTTCTACCTCACTGGAGATCATCAATTAAAGCTGGCTGGCCACTTGTTGGGGGTGTTGTAGAGGGGGGTATTGTAGAGGAGATTCCTGGCCAAGTGTACACTGGACTTGAGGCATTTGTATGAGTCTGGGGTTCTCCTCTTTCCCTGCCCCCAAACTGCTGCTTTCAAAAGTGAAGCTTCCCCTGTTTTCTATTTCTGTTTATTTGTTGGGAGCTGCTGTGTGCCACAGAAAAATGCCACATTTGATGGCAGTAAACCATATTTTATAGGCATCAGCCCCATCTGAGGGAAGTTAAATCCATCTGCCAAGTTTTCTGCCAATACCACTGTCCCGCTTTTCTCGGGTTGTGCTGAGTCACTGCAGCAGGACCAACCCCAAGCTTCCGTAGTCTCCTGCTATTCTCCCATCCCAACTTGGAATGGAAGAGTAAACAACAAAAAAACTCCCACCTACACACTCACCATCAACACAGACACAGAATGATTTTTCAATGCATTAGACACTTGGCTGGTTGTCAATCCAGAGGATAACAGAGACCCTGGCCTTCTGGGGCCGGTCCGTAGAGGGAGCTCAGCAGCCCCCACCCACCATGGCCCAGGTAGGATTCACCCTGGCCCTCCTGAGCTGTCACATGCAGGTGACCAGCAGTCATTGCCATAGCTCCAGACACAAGCAGGGCCGGGAGGTGCAAAACTGTGCTGAGTCCAATCTCAACCTCTCATAGGAGCCTTTGAAATCACCGCTGACACAGGACATATTGAAACTGAACTTGAAGTATTTTATTTCTATGTACATTTCATCTTCGTCCAGAAATAAAACTCTAACTACAGACAGACTGTAATGCTGTGTATATGTATCACTTCCAACCGTCCGTTAGCTGAGTGAGTGCTGGGTACAGAGTTCTGTCTTGCTCGGGGATTTACAGCTACATCGCTAACATGGACTCAGACTCCTCCTCGTTCCCTTTGTCTTTTATACCCAATAACAAGCAGAGAGACAAGTACAAGTTAATATTAATAAGCTGCTGAAATAACACGGGATAAACTATGTACAATACAAACCATTCATACAAATGAAGACTAGGATATTGAGTTTGTTACAATGTGTGGAGCAAAGATAAGATGGCCACTTACAACTTACATGTCGTCTGTCTCTTGGGCATGTCCCCTCGACATCTAGTGACTGGGGAGTTTCTAAGAGGAACTCTGCCAATGCCAATGACCAGGGGCAAAAGCTGAAATCTCAACATGTGCCCACATGTAAATTCCAAAGGTTTACTTATCTTTATACAGAACAGGCCTCCTACGGCCACCTCGAATGTGCCTACAGGATGCTGGGTGGGTGGGTTCATTTGGGAAGGAATACTGAGCTCTAGAAACACGTGTTCCATTGTCACAAGTAATTAGGCCTACGGTGTTGGTTACCAGTGCAGCTATCCAAAGCAGGAGCACGCGTGAGAGGGAAGGATGGATTTACATGGATTCAAGACTTGGAAGGATATCTCCACGCCAGTGCCTGTCAGAGCCCAATTCTGCCTAGCTATTCCCTTCTGCCTTGATTGGTTATCTAAAACCTTATGACCCAGAGAATTAAAAGACTTCTAAACAGGGGTCCCAGTAGATGCAAGCCAAAATATGCGTGTACATGTACATGTATGTCTGTGTGTATGTATGTTTCTTCTTGGGTGATTTTATGTAAAACCTGCAGTGATTCACAACTACACTGAGAGATGGAGCCAATGGTCAGAAATGACACCAGATTGTCCCCCCTGGGATCTTGGCAGCCCGTGGACAACAGCAGCATCGTAGACACAATCCAGGCCCCAGATGGGACCTTCTCCTTTGCAGTAACAGCCCTGTCATATGACCTTTTTGATTCCTCAGGCTTCAGTCTTACCCACACTGGCTCCTCCTCAACCTGAAGGGAAGTAGGGCGTGTCACTGTGATAGTTGTAGTCAGGACACACCTTCTGTACTAGTTTGTAATCGGTACTATAAAAGGAAATGTAAATACAGATGACCTTAAAGGGCTTAGAGCATAGCCAGGACACGTGGCTCTGCGTCTGCTCCTGATAACAGGTTTTGGAAGGGTCATAGTTACAGAGCGTGTTCTTGGTCGCCTTGTCAACCTTTTCATACTCGATCCGGCAGTTAAAGGACTTGGAATCTTTGGCATCGATCACCGTCTGCTGGGCCAAGTCGAATTCCACGATCTTGGTTGGGGGCACCAAGCTCACAGATACGTTGCCTTGCCCAGTGGAATTGTGCCGGAAGTACACGCTGAAGGTCCCATTACCATGGTCAACGATTTTCCCAGTTATCAACAGATTGAGCTTCACAGTTTTGATGTTGGAATGAAAATCACCCCAGCCAAACATTTTCTTAAACTTTCCTGTCTTGACAATGGGCCGTCGCTTGGCTCTGGGCCGAGGCTCCTGAATATCCGTGGAGTTCCTCAGCCAGTCCCAGAGATCTTGCTCCGAATAAGGTTCTGGGGTGTCATAGCGCAGGTCCAAGTCTGTACCATTGTCTTTGCCACGAAAAGTCTGTGAGAGAAGCCGGCTGATGGACAAGTCTTTGCTGCTTTCTGTCCAGATGTGCTTTAGGGTAGATTTGGTGCCTCCAGATTTTACAAGCTCTGACTTCCCGCCATTCGTTAAATTGGCACATGTGACCTAGTAGGGAAAAAAGAAGAAAGATGGTATTCTTATCTCTGCATGAAAAGGGTATTGTTTGGAGCCAAGATACATGTGGGTGGGGCCTCTATTACCACAGAGCGGAAGAACCATACCATAAGCATGCATCCAGTCAGCATCCATTCAAAGGGATGACAAGACTGTTTCGCCCTTCTCATAGATATTGCATTGTGATGACTTTAAGAACAAGGGGGGAAGACAGTGGAGCAGGATGCCAGGACCAAAGCATGAGACTGATTTCTACACATGTACTGCCACCTAGTAGGAATACATGAGTTACGAATTCACCAAGAGCCAAGTTAACAGCTCAGCTCACACAGAAGTTGAGTAACGTTAATACCCAGCACCAGAGCCAACCCAGATACTTGAGAACATAAGGACACAAACTGCTTGAGTCCAGACAATAAGGCCTTTCCCATTTCTACTCTCAGAAAAACAAAGTTTCAAGACTCCCTTTAGCTCTAATTGTGATTAAAAATGATTAAAGCCAACTATAGGAGAGAGGGAGGATGGCTGCTTTTACTTGTCTCTCACTACCTGCTACATGGACATTCTAAGCAAGGTGACTTTGTAGTAAGATCCTAGTTTTTTTTATTAGTGAAAAAATATGTATATATGCCTGACTACATATAAGACACCATATGTGGGGAATAAAGGGATTCTGAGACAAATATTCCACCCTCCAGGATCCTCTATTCTAGTCCAAGAGTCAGCCATGGGCACAAACCTGGCCATGACCTAAAGGTCAACAGAAGGTAAATGCCAAATGAGAAATCCCTCCTCTTTCCAGTGCTGAGCAGGTGTGCCAAAGATGTCAAAGACAGAAAGAAAAGTCCTTTGTACCTCAAAACAGTCACGGAAGGCCTTTGTGCCATACATTGCAAAGAACTGAAAATAAAGCAGGTATCAATAAATCAGAGGATGGTTAAACAAATTACAGTAAGTGAATGGAATGAAATGTTATAAATAATAAATGTGAAGCAGTCAGAGAAGCTTGGGAAGACCTACAAGAACAATATGAATTGATGCAAAATGACAAGAGAGAATCAGGAAAGCAATATGCATAACAACACTATTGTAGGAACAAAGGAAGGAAGGAAAGAAGGAAGGAAGGAAGGAAACAAAATGACAAGAGAGAATCAGGAAAGCAATATGCATAACAACACTATTGTAGGAACAAAGGAAGGAAGGAAAGAAGGAAGGAAAGAAGGAAAGAAAATGGGAGGGAGGAAGGAAACATTGTATAACTATACTGATTGAATAAGAGATGAGAAAATATATTCTTTGTAGAGGTGGGTGAATATGAGTGTGGAAAATTGCATACACTATCAGACTCAGTTAATACATTGGTTAGTTTTGTTGAATTGCTGTTTTTTCTTTCTTTTTGTTTTTTCTCTTCATACTATTTTTTTTTCCTTACAGGGAAAGTCTTGTTGGATAGGAGACAGAGAAGAATATATTATTAAATGAAATTATATAAAAGGAAAGCTATATAAGGTAGCTATATAAAGGTGGTCCCTCCTTGGACTCACTCCTTCTTACCATTCTTACTCTATTATAATGTTTTCCTTTTTGCTTTTAAGCTTTCCTGTTGCTCCCAGGCCATTGAATCTAGATTTCATCCCTGTCATTACACACTGTCCTAACAAATCCCTAACTGAAGCTTTGATGGCCTGGATCAGCTTCCTTTTGGGAAGTCACAGGGAGACAAGGAGGAGTTTGGATGTGATCATGACTAACCTAAGGCTAAGTTGGGAAGCAAGCAGTTTGGCTTGAGGTCCCCAGGCTCCAAAGGCACCAACAGTTGGGCTGGGCAACTCTGCGCCCACCTCATCCCTCTGGTGCTGCTGTCTTAGTGCTATGATGATGGGGGGTGGTGGTGGTAGTGCTGACAGGAGCCATTTCTCAGGTCATCCTTTCTCTATAACACCCTTGTCAATCAGTCTGTTGGTCAAGTGACATTGCTTAAGTGATTGCTACGTGTCAGGCATGGCGTTAAGCACCAAAGAGACAAAGAAAAGTTCAAGAGAGACCCTGACCTCCAGAAACTCCTCTACTGGGGAATATGGGAATAGAGATGATTGCCTTCCCCGCTATCTGGAGAAATAAGCTCCAAGACATGAGGTGTAGGGTTAGGTGAACTCTAAATGCCCATGACTCAGACTGAGGGCATGACTCCAGGATACTCATGTTTGCATCACACCTGTCCACCACTTCATGCACACAAGCTCTAAGGAATGGATCCCAATGTCTCTCCTTTGACATGGATATGACTTATAGCCTGACAACCCAACCCATTTGACCACCCAACCACTTAACTCATGTGAGCTTATACTGATGTTGGGCTGGATATTCAGGTATAGTATGGATCTGCAAACAGGTATTCATCACAATAATGCTCTCTCCTTTCTAGGGTTTCAAGAAACCACTCTCTCCTAGTTCTTCTCCTACCTATCAGGCCACTCTTCTATTCCCTTTGATGAATCCTCCTCCAGATCATCCCCTATAACCATAGGTATCCTCCAGGGCTTTTTCCTGGGTCCTCTTCTCTTCTTCATCTAAATTACTTTACTTGGTGATCTCCAGCTTCCATGGATTTAATTGCATTTCTATGCTGATGATTCTGAAATCTACCTTGGAGGTCTCTGTTGCCCTCCTATCTTGTATCCTCAACTGCCTTGCAGATATCTCAAACTGGATGTCCAGTAGATATCTCACACTCAACATATCCAAAACTAAACTCATAATCTTTCCCCCTAAGCCCACCCTCTACCTTCCCTATTACTATAGGGGGGAAACCATCCTTTGAGTCTCTCAGTCTCAAAACCTAGATGCCAGCCTTGACTCTTTGTGATCTTTCACATACCCCCATATCCAATCTGTTGCCAAGGCCCTCGAATTTTAACTTTGCAATGTATCTTGAATACCCTCCTTTCTCTCCTCTGACACAACCACATCCCTGGTGTAGGCCCTCAACACCTCATACTTTAACTGTCTCAATAACTTGCTAGAGGGGCCACCTGCCTCGTCTCTCCTCACTCCATTCCATCCTCCATTCAGCCAACAAAATGATTTCTCTAAAGCACAAGTCCAACTCTGTCACTCCCCTACTCAATAAACACCAGTAGTTTCCTATCACCTAAAGGGTCAAATGCAAAATCGTCTATTTGACATCCAAAGTCCCTCCTAACCTAACCCCCTCCAATCCTTCCAGTCTTATACCTTCCTCCCTCATCATGGACTCTGTGATCCAGTGACACAGGCCTCCTGGCTGTTCCATGAATAAGACCCTCTACCTCTTGACTCCAGGCATTTTCTCTGGCTATCTGCCATGCCTGGAATTCTCTCCTTCCCCAACTCCAGCTACTGACTTACATAACTTCCTTTAAGTTTCAACTAAAATCCCATCTTTTACAGGAAATCTTTCCCAACCTCTCTCAATTCTCATGCTGTCCTCATGATTATTTCCTATTTATCCTGTATATAGCTTGTTTATATGTAATTGTCTACTTCTGATTCCCTCCCACCTTCACATTAGAATGTGAGCTCCTTGAGGGCAGGGACTATCTTTTGCTTCTTTTTATATCCCCAGCCTTTTGCACAGTGCCTCGCACATAGTAGGTGCTTAATAAATGTTTATTGACTGACTGTTTTTGTATCCTCAATGCCTGGCTTATAGTAGGTACTTGATAAATGCCTATTGAATGATTGACTGACTGGTCTATGTGAGGTGTATATTTTTACCTCTTTTAAAGATAAAAAGGATGCCTATTAATTTCTTCCAACCATTATTTTTTTTCACTGTAGATGTGTTACTACTCATTACAGATAATTATAATGTTGCTTTGGAAATGATATATTTCTTGATTCAAAAGCATGAATACTTGAGAGCAGATAGATATGTAAATAGCATGACAAGTAAGGATAAGAAATCTCACTCTGAATGAATAGCAAAGACACAAGGAACAAGGTTGACACAAGCAGGAATACAGGTTCAACTTGCATTTGGGCCAGCCTACATTGCCTTTAGGAATGATGAGCTGTTTAGAGATGAAGTCCTAAACATTGCATATATTCTTGGTTCTTTTCTAGGTAGCTCCCCTCACACAGAAGATTGTAAGCTCCTTGATGATATAGATCAGATAGTATCCTTTTTGTATCTACCTAAGCACCATCCACACAGAAGGTGTTAAATTGTATTGCTTGATGAATAATAGAGAGAGAAAATAAAGAAGGAAATGTAAACCAAGGTTCATCAGGAAGAGATACACTTTATTCTCCATGGCAGTTGGGGATGGGGGAAGGGTGGTTCAGTGGGAATATATTTCATAAAGAGTCTGGCAGAACAGTAATTGTCTATAAGAAAACCCTGTTGCAGTGCACTCTGCCCTCTGCTCTTCCAGCTAGTCCATTATTGCACATAGGCCTCATCTTTCCAGTCAGTGACCTTTCCATCCACCATGTCATCTGCCTTCCATCTACCATTCCCAACCAGACTTTACCCCATTGAGTAGAGATAGCATGCCTGTGGAAGAAGTGTCCTGAGACCCCAAAGTCTGAGCTGTTCCCCAGTTCTATGGCATTGGCCCAGTTTCCTTGATCCATTAAGCATAGCTTGAGGGTCCCATCTGCATGCCAGATTTCTCTCTCACACAAGATTGGTGCCTTACTTTCCCTGACAGTAAAGGCTCACTTTGCATTAGTCACTTTGAGCAGTCAAAGGAAATGACTTAGCATTTTGAAAAACCAAAATTTGTCATTTCTGGATGCTGTATATAACCTCACCCCTAGAAGAGAGACATTGCAATAAACCATTTGGGACAAGCAGAAACAGGACAGAAAGGTGGGCCATCATCATTTAGCCAGTTAGGGACTCAGACTATCAGCATGCTGGAAACATGGAAGGCACTGTGCTTATGCTCAGGAGGTCTTTAATAAATACAAAGGTGAAATGAGACAGTTCCTGCCTATGGAGAGTTTACAGTATAATAGTAAGTGTCAAAGGTGTTTGGATTTTTATTTACACCTACTAAGTAGTTCTACACCAAAAAGACAATCTTCTATGAGCATGAGAAATACTATATAACATCTGCCCCAGTAACTCTGACATAAGACTCTCATTTGACTTATTTTGTAGACCAGAAAGAAAAGCTAAAACACAGAATTGTTTAATTATTCTGGAAGGAGGTTTGGGTCTTAACTATTCTAAAAGCTGCAATTGATTGACAAAAACTTGTTGGGATACCCATCCCTACTTAAAAACATCTGTCATTTCAGCAATGTCAGTATGTGTCATTGACACAGATCATGACACCCCCTTCACCCCCATTGCAACTTGTCTTCCAGAGTGACTGTAGTTTTTAAAAGATACAATGGGTGCTGAGCTCTTCCAAACTTAGCTAGGCTGTTCCTCAGAAGGCAAACTACCCATTGTTGCATGACTCCAGGGAATTTTTTAGCTTGAGAGGTCAAGGGTTTTGCTAGTAGGAGCTCTGAGAGCCCAGGGTCAACTTCATACCCTAATGAGGCAACAAAGAATGATATGAGAGGCTGGCTGTTTTTGGTTTTCTTTTTGTTTTTGTTTTTGTTTTTTTCTGTAGCACAAATGCAAAGCACTTCAGGCCACAGAAGCACCTCATCAGGAATGAGTAGAGGATCATGCTAAATTTTCTAGAAAGCCAGCATCATTGCCCAAGAAATAGGACAATCATATTGCCACTACTCCATGACTCTATCAGATTAAAACATCCTCAAAGGGGTATAAATGTCGTATATCTTGTTCACTAAGGGGTACCCCCATTCCCTTGCATGAAGCATCACTAGCCTAAGGGTTGCAGTGGCTCAAGCTTAGTGCTGTTGAATGATCCCAGAATCACTTACTCAGTCACAGGATTTCAGATTTGGAAGACACCCCAGAAGCATCTAATTCAGCCCGCCCATACCTAAAAAGGAAATTCTTCTAAAACCCTATGAAGTATTGAATCACTCTCAAACATGTTAGCCTGGAATCATTAACCTTTTTAATTTCTTTTACTGTAGTTACTCCTAAGAAAACTATTTCACAACTTTTCATGGTTCTTCACACTTGAAATATCATGAATTGTGACAGCCATGAAAAAAAAACTATTTTTGTTGTGAAGAAATCAAACTTTTTTCATGCTGGGAAAATAACCTTCCTTCCCAGTTGCTCATCTTATAAGCACACATACACATCACTTTTGACTCATTTGCATATGAATATTGATGAGTGACTGAGAAGCATTATTCCCAATGCCCCATCCTCCTCACTTGGTCCATTCTTCTCAAATATAAGTACAGGTTACTCCCATTTTTTGCATTACAAGAGGTCGACTCATATTAATAAATGCATAAAATACCATTAACATGAAAGAAAAGAAACTCAGTAAAAAAATCAATATTTTATGTTATTTCTTTTTAAAATGTATAAGGAATATCTTGTGTGATGACCCCTGGGCATATATGTCCAATAACTAGCAACACATTAAAGTAACATTTTAAGAGACTAGCTCCCACCTAAAGACCAAAGCTTCTTCAACATCATTCTTGCATTATGCATTTTCTCATTTTACCTTGCTTGAACAATGTTATTATAGTGATAATATTTGTAAAGCAAATGAAAAAAGGCTTTTGGCACCACCATAGGCAATTGATTTTGCCTCTGATTCCATTGGGAATTCTCAAGGGAAAGAAACAATTTCAGCTTGGGAAAGAAATTCCTGGAGTAGGATCCAAGACCCACTCTCAAATGGGGGAGGACAGACAGCATGACAATTTTAGATTGGCAATTATTGTACAAATGGAGGGTGGGGCTGTTCCACACCATAGAGGTTCTATACAGACTCTGATGGGTTACTTAGGGAAAAGAATAAATAACAAAAGAAGGTTGGGGTAAACTGGTATAACTGAGAGGTGAATGTGCTAGTGAAATGCCCCACTAATGTCTGAGGAAAGGTGAAAGCATAAAGGAAGATGTCAAGGGATCCTGTCTTGTGTCAATACATTCCAGTCTTGACTACTAGGGGGACACACAGGAGGAGAGAAAATAATGTTTGAATAACTGGGCAGATTAGGATGCATTTCTAAATTTATGCAAAGAAAAATTGTAAATGTGCAACAACCATATGAAAGAGTGCTCCATAATCACTAATAATAAAAAATACAAATTACAACATGTCTGAGGCATTGCCTCACACTCAGCAAAACAGCAACGAGGACAAAAGGCAGACACACTCAATGCTGGATGGCTTACAGCACGCAGGCACACTGTACACTTTTGGCAGAGCTGGAATGGGAAGAGTCACTTGGGAAAAGAAATCGGAATGTAGCCGTTTCCTGCCCTGAGGTCACATGTGCAATGGAAGTTGGGCTGGGCCTTTAAGGAGGTGGAGAAGCTGGGTGACTTTCTTACTGCCCGAGGCATTAAAAGTCCAACCCACCCCAAGATACTACTGGAGGTTTTAGTAGAACTCCTATTTCTAGGCAGGACTTTTTTCTGACCAAATGTTATTGGTTATCTTGATGAATATAGATGCACAGGGGAGAATGGTTTGATTTGAACTTAATCAGGAATTTATTCTTTTAATGTATTGGTAAAGGTATTTTTTGCATTTTATAATACACAAATATCCCATGGCATGGTAATCCACAGCTAACTGGCATCAATTATACCTTATCTTGATTATCTTTTGACCTAGATGCAAGGCAAAGCAAATAGAACAAGAAAATAACCTACACAATGACTGCAATAATGCAGATGGAAAAAGCAACAAAATAATCTCCACCAAATCCTAGAAAACCACACTGACCAAATTGAATGTTAATGAAGAATGATGAGCAAAATTGCCTTCATTTATTCATAGAGATCAGGAGCCATGGGGATAGGCATAGCCTATGACATCAGACATATACAACCCTGTTTAGCTTGATCAAGTTTTGTTTTGCTTTTACTTTTAAAATGTTATATTATGTTTTGTTTTCTGGGAAAGAGTCAGGGATGAGACACTGGGAAATATAAGTGATGGGAGAATAAAGGATAATTAAAATTTAATTTTAAAAAATAAATCTTTGCCTGGTTAGAGTAGCAAACATCTGTAATCCCTGCTACTATGGGTTGCTAAGGCCAATGGATCTCTTGAGCTAGGGAGTTCTGTGCTGTGATAGGACTAGAGCCAATCTAGTGTCTTCATTAAGTCAAGCCCCAGGAACAGTGGGCCACTAGTCAGCCTAAGGAGAGACAAGCCATCCCAGGTCAGAAATGGAGTATGTCAAAACTTCTGTGAACCTCTGGGAATCAGGTTTCCTTTTCCCTTTGTTATCTGGACTCCTTTCACCACCACTATATAAGTACCTTGAACAGCACCCACGGCATACCTGGTATAACTGAGAGGTGAATGTGCTAGCGAAATGCCCCACTAATGTCTGAGGAAAGGTGAAAGCATAAAGGAAGATGTCAAGGGATCCTGTCTTGTGTCAATACATTCCAGTCTTGACTACTAGGGGGACACACAGGAGGAGAGAAAATGTTTGAATTGACTGGGCAGAGTAGGATGCATTTCTAAATCCCCCATAGCTAGAGTAGCTATACAGCCCCTGGCTCACAGCCTTGGATTAATTCTTCATATTCCCCCTCCTTAAACTCCTTTATGCCAAATCTTTTATCATCAGCTTAACTCCATCTCCTCCATTCCCATCCTCTCCTTTAGCCACACAGCCACCATTCATGTTCAGTCCCTCATTATCTCTCACGTGGGCTCTTGCAAAAGCTTCCTCATGGGACTCCCTGAATTCAATCTTGCCACTTTGCAAACCATCCTTTATAATTGATATTGTTTTTTTTCACTTACTAGTATTTTTCCCAATTATGTATAAAGACAGACTTCAACATTTACTTTTGTAAGATCTGAGTTCCAAATTTTTTCTCTATTCTTCCCACTGCCCAAGACAGCAAGCATCCTGATAAAGGTTATACATTTATGATCATATTA